TGTATAGATTCACATTGTTAATTTATGACTAATGAGTGAAATTGAAACGATAATTTATTGAAATGTCTGGTAAGCATTGGGAATTTAACAAGATAGAGAGAGGAGTTGAGTTTTCGATTCTCGTCAGTCTTTCCCATATTCGATTTCCAATAAGAATGGTAATCCAACTTATAACTGTCTGTTAGATATCTTCCACTTTGTAGAAAAGAGAGAGAGAGAGAGAAAGAAAGGTTTTAGAATTCATCCAAGATGGATGCTGTGTGACGAGATGCAAATAAAGAATTAATTCTCAATTTTCAAGGCGGGAATTTTTTTTTAACCCCTTATAACAATCTAAAGTAGTCGAAACACACTTACGAGAGAGAAAGAGAGAGAGAGAGAGTATGAGAGGACCAACCAAGGATAAACGCTTATTAAATTAGTCTAACGAACCTAATATCTTAATTAAGTGAAGGAGATGCCCTTTACCTCCCACCCGCACATCTTCCATCACTTTGCAAGAGATCCTTAATCTTTGTGTACCGTCGAGAGATCACTTCAGCCTAATGACAATAATGAAAATCGACAACCCGCGGAATCAACCAACTTGATAACACAATATCCGCACACAAGCAGAGAGAGAGAGAGAGATCATTTTCATTTCCCTAACTCAAGGTTTGAGATAAATTCCATTTTAATTAACTTAGTTATCGCACTGGAAACACTCTAAATTGGATCAAATAACAGTTAATTAAATGCTAAAAATATGTTATTAAAGCGGTGCAAAATTTACAATGCGCGAGCCCTGTTTGCATCTGATTATATAACAAGTTCAAAGTATAATGCTAAATATGTTTAGAAAATCGAGAGATTTTTATTTTTCACAAATGCATTTTCTTAACTTTTCAAAAAATTATAATTTTTTACTATCATTATAAAATATGAGAAATTAATTAATTTTTCTATGTAACATTTTTCAATAAAAATATAATTTGTTTTTTAACTGAAATTAAGTTAACGGTAAATAGAGTTCTGAATTTTTCTAGACGAAACAATTTTCAAAGTTGAAATTTATTAAAATTTTAACTAATTTGTTGTGAAAATATTTTAATGAAAGTAAATTAAATAGAGAATTTTTTAAAATTAATTTCAACCTTACTAATTTTGAAGCTATTCATTAATTAAAGTTGATTAAACTTTTTTTTAACTAATTTAGATTTTTTTTTAATTTTTAATAATCCAATAAACTTTTACGGATAAAAAAAATTAATTTCTAAAAGAAAATAAAAACTAAGAGTTACTTTAGTTAATATCATAAAAAAGTGATAAAATTTAAAACGAAAATACCTAAAAATTGAAATTAAATTCAAAAAGTGATTTTTTGTCATCGGTTTTGGAAATTTTTTATAAAACCAATCTCTACTTGATAAATATGGGGAATTTTTTTCCTTCTATAATGAGGAATAATTTATCATTTATCAATATGAAAAAAAAATTCTTTTTTTAAACTTAAATTTCAATTTTTTTGAAGATATTTTCGATCAAATGGGGCGTGATTTTTTTTATCACATAATTCAGAAATTGCAAGTTTCCAAAATTAATTTTTTTGTAATTTTTTAAAGAATCAAAAATATTCTGAAAAAAATCGAAAGAAAATTGACTTTTCCCAAAAGTAACCAAACAGTTCTTAAAATAATAGAAAGACGGAAAAAAGAAGAACAAAAAACAAAACTCAAAATTTCGCATCACCGATATAATAATACATTAAAATAATAGAAAAGACTTGTTCAAAAACATGGGGTATTGAATTTACAGTAAGAAATGTAGAGATATATATATATATATATATATATATATATATATATATATATATATAAGAAGGTTAATTGTATACAATGCAAATGTAGCATTGTACAAGACCTTCTTGCCAGGGTAACTTCTTGCCCTGAAGCCAGACCGTTTTCCAAGCGATAGAAAATTAACCCATACAAGCGGCTCTTAGCTGTCCGCTTTGGGGGCGAGAACTCAAGAGCATGATCGCACTAATTATGCAAACGTAGGCGTTGCAATACTGTGCCATGCAAATGTCTAGCTCCGGGTAGCATCGACCCCAGAAGTTGAAACGACGAAAACCGTATGTCCACGTACATATAACAAACACGACGACACATTTGCCACGATAAACTTTGTTTTCAAGAGTATGACTCAGAACAAAAACTAAGAAAACGGATATATACGATGCAATATGGAAAAAATTAACAAAAGTGGGTCGTACCACGTAAGTGCTAAACCACAATCGGGGAGACACACATACGATACAGTAGGAACCGGACGACAACATAATGTAACAACCCACATAATACATTTAACCTAACCTTCACTTACAAACTTAGCTGTCCATACTTATACCCCATCAATATATCCAACTTTTTTTTTTTTATCTCAAAACAATAAATACATCATTAAAAATAAAATAATTCACAAACAAATTTTCCCAAAAAATATAAATCATATTTTCAAATTCTTTCTGCAATTCACATATTTTCGATCTAAAAAAGATGCCACAAATATTTATTTTGGATTTGAATAAAAAAAAAAAAAAAATAGGTAGGAATCTACAATACCGATATTTCAAAAAAATTTTGTTTTCGCATCGGTCTGTTATCAGATTGAAAATTCATAAAGAAATTCGGTTAAGAATAATAAAAATTCGAGCCTGATCAGGCCCCCATCTGGGCCCTGGCAAAATTTCTACACGGGAAATAAATTAGGATAATAAAATTCTGTCCAATTAAAATTCGAACAAATTCATTTTTAAAGCTTCATCTACGAATGAATAAAAAAAATTCAATCTCTTATCCTTGCAAAATACAAATTTGTCCTAAATGGTTAAAAAAGAAAAACAAGTGTCCCACGTGTTTATGCGTCCCCCTCTCTTATGCCTCCCCATACGGGAAATATGTCGTTTTTGTGCCTCTTATCGCACCATTAATCTTTCTGATCTACGATCTTTCTCTCTTTCTCTCTGCCTGCAACCTTATTTACCAATAAAAATGACATTGAAAGGTGCCTCTTGGTATTTCCTGACATTTAACAAGACTCATTTACTCATTTGAGTATTAAGAGAATTGAATACACGATATTTTAATCAAGATATCAAAAAGATTATCTTAATTTCCTTTTTTTTCCCCTTAATGATTATTTATTTCTTTTTGATTTCGATATTTTTAATTTGAGAGACAAAAAAAAGGCGGTAAACTTTCATCTTCTCGTTATTGAAAAGTGTAATAAAAATTTATATTACCAACTAATTTGGGATTAGATTAATTTTCAGTTAATTAACATTACTATATGATGATGTGTTAATTAAAATTAGCACACTGATAATTTATTCTAATTAAAATTAAGTGATTTAGTAAATTTATTCTTAAATGGATAGATAAATTAAGATCTTTTTTTGAAAAAAATAGAAAGGAAACATTTCTTTTAGATATCCATTATTAGTTGTTATATAAAAACATTTACAAGTTTTAAACAACTTTTATGTGTGGAATTTTTTTTTTCTCCAAATTTTGAACATAAATACCATTACATTAAAGATGAAAATTACCAGAGGGTTGTCAAAAAGTACGTAAATTACGATAAATTGTAACTATAATAAATTATTATTAAAAGCATAAAATATGCATAAAATCGTTTATCGATTAGAACGACTATTTACTGAGTCATATACCCACTTGAAGGTATAAGTTCACATTTATATAAAAACAATTTTTACCCCATTAAATCCAAATATTTCAAAAATCAATTATTCGCAAATATATTTAAAAACGGTGTTCTTTTTGTCTGCCAAAAGTAAATTTTCAGAAATTCGTTCCAAAATCGGGAAAAAAAAAATGTGTTGCGGTATGAAGTTTGTTCAAGATGTGGAAATGGGTTGAAAATTTATTTTTTTTTCGGGACTCGAGGCACGCCTTTGGAAAATCATGCTTACAGAGTTGATCGAGTGAAAAAAGGCATTGGTCGGAAATTACTATCACTTCCGCGTGAATCGTTGGAACTAGACCCAGTAAGTAAGGATAGAGACTGGCATATAAAACGTGAGACTATAGGACACACATAGAGAGACACACGCTTATGGGCAGAATGCTGAAGAGCAAAGAGACTATCTCCACGTAAGTGTAACTACGTGAATAGAAGGGACGAAGTATGCATTATTTATCGAAGTACACGTGTCCCACCCGGTTTCGCTAACTAAAGTACACCACTGTATATAAATATATATCTATATACATATAAAGAGAATAAACCAGTCTTGAAACTTAAATTGGAAAAACAGAGTACATACAAGAACATTGTTTCGATATATATCGAATAGAGAGAGAGAGAAAAAGAGAGGAGAGAGTGTCAGGCTAAAAAAAGAATGCTAACTGCTCTATTAAGGCAAACTACATCATAAATTGTAATCAGACAGTTTGACTGACCAATCAGCGTAACGTCCTATCAAATCAAACAGAATCATCACACTTATTCAGTTTAACTTTTTACATACCACTAAATCGTTATTTACTGCATTTTAAATTGTTAAAAAAAACATTCTCAATCCGACAATTATCTCGTTTCTGTTTCTTAATTAACAATTTAAATTTCAATGAATTATTAATTTAAATCGTACTGTAAAGACTATATAAATAATTATCGATAATATTCATAAATAAATGATATTCAAGAATTTTTTTTTATCGCATTTTCTTCTATTTACAATGAAAAGAAATTTATTTTATACAAATAATCAGAGTATTATCAAATAAATATTTAACAAATAATTTTTACAAATTAATTTTGAAACCAAATAATTGAATTAAATAAACTATTGAAGCCAATAATTTCTCTATTTGAAACAAATACCATAATTATTTAATATAAATAAATATTTATTTGATAATAGTCAAACAACCGATTATTGGAATAAAATAAATTTTTTTTATTATTAACACCAAAATTTAATTGTCAGTACTTACATATATATATACGAGAGGCTCTTTTGTATCAGGTCCGTTTATGCTGTAAATAAATAAAAAAATAATATGTAATAAATAATAATATAATATAATAATATGTCTAAAAAAAATGAGAGACAAAATAAAAAATGTAAAACAGTGAATTTCTCCCAAGTGTTTAATTGAAAAGTAAATAAATGAAGGTTACTCGATTGTTAAGAATTGTAAAAAAAAGGGCAAAAAATAAACAAAAAAAAAAAAAATAAAATAAAACCAAAATGAGTCACTTTGCCGCACGGTATACGCGCGCAGTGAGTGAGGTGGTGTAGTGTGGACTTTTGAAAACAAATTAGTACGATTCTTTAGTCAAACGCCACTGCAAACTCAACTCGTTAATTCGGTGCGAACGAGAGCGTTATAAAAAAAACGCTTTAAAGCTCTTAACAAGTACCACGTGTTGAAGGTTTACCCGGACATACATATATTTATATGAACGAGATTCGAAATTGAATTAAAAAAATGTCTCACTTTCATTTTACTTTTCAAGTTGTGGAGAATAAAAAAAAGTTCTTGAATCCGCATTCACAGTGTGTTTATTATAAATTTTTTATTCACGCTTGTGTCGTTTGTATACTCAAAATCCCTTGAATAGTCTCTTTTTTTCCATCCAAAAAGATACAAAAACCAAATTTTATTAAAAGAATTTTTTTTTTAAATTTAATGGCAAAAAATGTCTAATAATGCAGTAAATACATAAAAAAAACAAATTAATAATAAAAATTTATAATTTTTAAAACAGAAAAAATTGAATATTTTCAGAGTCTCTTTTTTTTTGCCCCTCTCATTGAAATGTAATATAATGCAGAAACTGTAAATTTAAACATTTATAGACACCCATTATTCTTAAATAGAAAATTGAAACATAAATATAAAGCATGTGTATAAAAGTCGAATTTATAAGAGTTGACAGTGAAAAATTTATATACGTCATAAAAAAAAAATTTTCACATACTTTTTTTGTGCTGTACATCGATTATTAGGTTTTACAGCTTAAATTCTTTTATGCGCGACTTTATTAAAGTTTATTATTTTCACGCGAATAAGGTTTAAAATATATATATATATATATTTTTTTTTACCCCGTTTGCCATTAAATATCAATTAATTAATAATTTTTCTACAAAATGTAAAAGAAATTTTTTTTTACAAAAAAATTTGCAATAACCTTTTTTTTTGCATTGACCAAAATTAATTTACGGTGAAAATTAACTTTTTGGAGGAAAAAATGATGGGAAAATCGATAGTGATGTTTATGCAGTAGTTTAAAATCCAATATGGCGGATCCAATATGGCGACAAAAATTTTTAAAAATTGTTTACATACGCTTGAAACTTGTTAGTTGGGGGTTTTCGGGATCGCTGATTACGAATTTGATGTCAGATTTTTAAAATTCAAAATGGCGGATCCAATATGGTGGGTTTTTTTTTAAAATGATTGAATTTGCTCGAAACTTGTTCTTCGGGGGTTTTCGGAGTCGCTGATTACGAATTTGACATCAGATTCGTAATCAGCAAGTCCAAAAGCTCCTGACTAACAAGTTTTCAGCAAATTCAATAAATTTTTAATAAAAATTCCGCCATATTGGATCCGACATTTTGAATTTCGAAAATCTGACTTTGTATCCGTAATCAGCGTTTGTAACAAAAAAGTAGAAAACAATTTTTTGCTTGTAAAACATTTTTCCCAGACGAGATAATTCTTAAATAAAAATCCATACCGACAAACATAAAAAAAGTTTTGTTTATAAGTGATTGATTTATCTGTGAAGTTCATAAAAAAAAGTAGATAAATTGGATAAAATAATAAACATTAATAATTACAAAAATCAAAGCATAAATATATGTTAATATCACTCTGTCTACACATTTATAGGAAAATTATTATCTCTTCGATAACTTTCTCTCTCTCTCTCTTTCTATATATATATAAAACACATAGCAAACATCAACCGGTATATATGCGATAACGTAACGAGTTATTTTCATCAGATTTATTAGTAAACTAATAACTCAGATCGATTTCCTATAACAGACAGACATAAAAAAAGAGAGAGGGAGAGAGTAAAAAAAAGGAGGCGAGTATACGTGAAAATATTGTGCGATATATATAGGAAATTTTGTGATATATTAATTTATGATGGCATATGAAATATAATAATTTATAGTCCATTAACATTTAAAACACAACTTTAAGCTGCCAAATGAAACGTTCAATTCTCTATACTATATAAGCGGGAAATAGAGAAAGAGAGAAAAAGCAAACAAAAATGTTTCAAACAACCCTTGCTGTGAATTTCCCGAGCGCATTCTAATAATTTCATCCCCGTTGAAGTTAAAGTTCTCCGAAAGTGCGAGAGAGGTCAGTTCGCTCGTTTGTGATCGAGGATATCGTGGAAAACATGAAGATCCAATTTTCCCCCGCACAGAAAATAGAGAATGTTCGTATCAAGCGTATATATATATAGTAAATACATATAGCTCACCAGACTGAAATACTTGCGCTCTTTACGAGCCGGTGGTTGCACGACTGTCTGGCCAAAGAGAAAGAGAGTGAGAGACGAGGGAAATCGATGTCTCGGAAAAAGGGATGATTGACAAACATTGCCAATGATTAGAGTAATAAAGTAAAATTTCAACCTCGCGAGGATTTGTGTATAAAATTATAGAAAATCGCTTTTGGTTTTGAAATTTATATATATATATATGGATTGTATACCACATTTGGCAGTTTAGGGATGCAATAGTGCATGCTTTAAACATGCACAATATAACCCGGTGGCTTTATAGCCGCACGTATGTGCGACGGATGGCCGTTCCATCAAAAATAAATTAACATTTCATGTGACAGTTGCGAGTACTTTGGGGCCAACAACAACTGAGAAATTAATGTTGCAGTTGCAAAATTAAGCCGTATAGTTCGATCCAAATCTAAAGATGCTGAAAACATTTTGGGGCGTTGGTAGCACTGACGTGTGTATATTTTGCAACGCCCTGTACCTTATATATTTTTTTTTTATAAAACTTTTCCGAATTTCTTCTTAAAATCTTTTTTTTACTTCTAAAATTTCGGAATTTTTGAATTAGTATTTAACAAAAAGTGAATCACTAATTATTTAAGTTTTACAAATTCAGAGAGTATCAGAATTTTGATCGATAAGAATTTAAAAATATAAACGAAATGTAAAAAAAAATACATCATTTGCATTTTTATTATTTAAAGAAAAAAGCCATTTTCCCAACGAAACCTTTTTGAAATTGAATTCTGATAAAAGAATAACATTTAACCTGATTCGAAGAAGACAGAGAGAGTATATTGGTTTGTGATAAAAATATTGCTTCAGAAAATAACTTTACCCCCAATTATCGAAGCAATTTTCTCCTATTTGGTCAAGGAATGTACCGGATTTTTATACTTCTTTATTTTCGCAAATATAGGATAAAATTACTAAAAATCAGTTCTCATCAAAAAATAAAGAAAACTTTCTCGAAATTATGTATTATAAAAAAAAGTGGACTGAAATCATATTTTCAAAGACAGATAAAATATACTTTCATATACACAGAGAGGAAGAGAGAGAGAGAAAGAAGAAAATATTCTTTTTCGTTCTGTTAAAATGTCAATACCATGAAGGGATAAAGTTCCCACAATCTGTTGCTCTTATTATCAGGCAAAAAAAAAAAAAAAAAAAAAACTCTCACATATGAGATGAAAATGTCGAAAGTATGTTTTTACAGTCATAAATTATTACCATAAAGCATATGCTACGGATCAATATATAAAAATTCGACTCTTCTTTTTAGAAGAGAAAATAAATTCATAAGAAGAAGAAAAGGGTTCAAAATCGTCATGGTTGGAAAAAGATTAAGGGGATGGGTGTTATATGTTTAGAAGCGGGTAAAAGCGGTTTTTGTACCCTTTACGCGAACGCGCCCCATTAATGTCAGTAGGTCCTTGAAAAAAAACCGTCCTAAAAAATTTCCATGTTATTTGAATTATTACATACGCGATAACCTTGATTATAATATTGTACACATTATTTCCACGGGTCCATGCTGTCACTATAATTACCCAGAAAGGGAGGGGGAGTTTTACCAATTGTATTTTAATTTTATCTCTCAACGCAACAAACAAAAGGGGCATTTATCTTTAAAATCGCTTTTTTCAATCCCAGTGAGTAGCAGAGAGTAGTACTATTAGTCGCGAGCAAACGGATTAATGTAGAAACGATATCGCGATCGTTAAAATTACAATATCGCAAATGCAAAAAAGGTCGCTCGTGCAATGGTGGATTACAAATGTACGTGTGGACAAATTATACCCGATTATATAATGTTTCAAACTCTCTCGGAGCTATAAAATACTGTTCTTTTTTTTTTATTTTTTTTTTTGGTATTTATATCTCAACTAATTTCGAGGAAGTAATTATTTTTTGTAATTTATTGGAGAGGTGCATTAATATCCCATAAAATACATGAGAATTTTTATTTGACGGAATTTCAATTCGAAAAATAATTAATTTTATTCTACCTTCTAATGGAATTCCAAATATAAAATATTCTAATGTCTTTGTGATTGGCGGAAAATCATTTTACTCTAAAACTGAATTAGTCAAATTTATTTTGAATTTGTTTAATTGAATTTAAATTTTCATTTTAATAGAATTATTAGGTCGAGGAATTTTTATTTAAATTCGTATTTTTCGAATAGGAATTTAAAAAATAGCGCCAAAATCTGTTTTTTGGTTATGTCTATTCGGTCACTTGCAATTTCGGTCAAATGAAAATTCTCCGTTTTAACAATTCGGACAAATAAAAATTCGGTGAAATAATTCGGCTAATTCTATTTTTTTTTTTTTGAAACAAATGAATGTTATAGGCTATTTTCTTTTAATGGCATTTTATAGAGACATAATAGAATTAGGCCCAAATCGATCGATAATTTCAAATAAAAATGCAAATTTTCGTAAAGTCGTGTGAATAAAAATAAAAAAAGAAATAGAAGACT